GGATAAACTCACAACCAACAGTAACACTTGCTAACTCCTTATCCACTCACGACCAACAATAAGACTAACTCCTTATTCTAGACCTGATCTGTCTGGTGACCTCAAGCAACAAGTGTGTGTGTGTTGGGGGGTCTCAGTTCCTGGTGGGCACCACCCAGGGGGGCCAAGAAAGGCGTGCGTGGGTCACAGTGCAGTAAAAGCCGCAGGGAAGAACGTTTCTCCACCGGGATCTGGCCGTTTTGCCCGCTGCGGCTTCGGTGCAGAGCGATCCAGGCCTCCGAAAGAAATGCACAAGAGGCTGTTTTTACAAGCCGAGAACCGACACACACGATCCCTTCCCGTACAGAAATCGAAATAGGGGAATTGGGGGGAGTGGGGGATTCAAAGCATGCATTGTGCCGCCAGTCCAACTCTTCCTGCTGTTGTTTGGTCCCAAGAGTTTTAAATAAGGTCACTTGGCAGGAAAAGAGCCAAGCCACAAAATGTGGTGGCACGTTGGTCTTCCATCTCTGCGTCTCCGGCGCTGGGTGGGTGGGATTGGCCTCCAGAAGAGGAAGGGGCAGCATTGAAGGCTGGCCTGGCTTTTTATTTTTTAAAGAAGGTTTTGTTTTGAGATGGTTTTAAGAATCCATATTATTTATTCTAAAGAGGCAGGGTTTTTTTTTGCAGCCATCATCTTTATAGGCTTCCCTGCTGGAGGATAAAATTTTCTGGCATTTCCCTTCAGTGCATCAACTGGGCTTCAGGACCAGCTGGAACAATGCAGCCCCTTCCTCGGCCCTCCACAAGTGGGTACAGCTGTCCAGTTACACCCCCCAAAATCTGTCCATCCATCAGTTTCCATCGGAAAAATCCAAGTCTTCCACCACGTCCTCTTCTCCTCTTGCCAGCCGAGGCAGCGGTTTCTGATGGCGGTGACTCCGTTGGGGCACGGCCCTCTCGCCTCCTGGAGAAGGAAGGAAGAAAAACAGGGGTGTCAATCCAACCTCAAAGAGGGGCACAAAAAGGGTGCTAGTTAATCACCAGTGCTAATTAAAGGATTGTCTGCAGGGCGCAGGAGGGGGCAAGATGGAAATGGGGAGATGGGCAGGATACAAGTTTAATAAGTAAAGCAATAAATAAACCAAAGCACCTGGGTGTTTAGAATGGGGATGGAGGATCAAGGAGAAGACAATTTTTATTTCCCCTTTCCCCCCATTTTGTTGGGGGGACGGGGGACAACAACTCTATAAAGGCTTCCAAAACTCACATCCTAGAAATAAGGGGGGAATTGGGCTCCTCTCCAAATGTTTCTGGGTGAGCTGTTGCAATCTACCGAGGTGAATTTAGAAGCATGCTTAAAACGGGCCAGGGTGTTACGTCTTTAAGTGTATATGGGTCCCTCGCTTAAGCAAGAGATATTTTCGGGCTCAACTGTGGTCATAAGTCAAGGACTTGCTATATGACATTAACTTCTACTTTAAAATGGATACACTCCCTTCCCAGGCCATGTTTCCATAAGGACTGCTAATAAAATAACCAATTTCCAAGTTTGCAAAGCTTTTCACACACACAATACCTTTAAGTCAACTTTCCAACAGGCCAAATGATCCATAAACTGCAAAAAAACAACCACCACACAACCCACCATCCCTTGGACAAGGCCTGCAAGAAGAAATGACCCAACACACACACACACACA